CAGATAATTTTTTTTTGATGTTTGTGACAAATGTATTGAGAATGTTGATAAGACTACAATCAGAGCATTATATGCCATACATTTTTAAGAGAAATGATGGCAATTCATAGTGACATTAGCAGGACAGGGCAGAACTGACCCTGGGAGTTTCTGAGACTGTAACTCTTTATGGGATTAGAGAGCCTCATCTTTCCCCTGTGGGACAGCCTGTGGTTTCAAACTGCAGCCTTAATTGTAACCATTGTACCACCAGGGCACTCTCTCTCTCTGTCTGTCTGTCTCTCTCTTTGTCTCTCTCACACACACAAGCACACACACACACACACACACACACCCATTCCTGCTCCATCCTCACATTTGTTCTTATTTTTGCAGCAGCCACTGTGTTAATCCTTATCTTTGAGGGTCTTCCTACTTTTCACTGACCTGTTTTACCAGGTATATTAGCCTGAATTCTCTGGAAAAGTAAAACCGGTGACAAACACACACACATATGTACATACATACATACATAAAGACAGGAAACTAGAGCTTGTTTGTGAACCTTGTTGCTCTTCTGGAGAAAGATTTGGCAGTGTGCTTCAGTGCAGATTACAGCCGAAAGAGCCCTATAGGGTGGTTCTGCTCTGCCACAAGGGGGTCTCTGTGAGTTGAAAACTACTCTGTGTGGCTACCAACAGCTCTGATAATCCCTGGGGTCTTGAATTCCTGTCTTGGTTCCCCTTACAATTCTCCAAGAGGTTAGTAGTGACTCCCTGATCCTCCCTTTGCAAATACCAATTTCTCCTTAAACGATCTCGTTTGTGATCATGTCTAGGAAATGGTAGAAAAGCACTCCATGTGCACATCTGCAATGAACATCCTTAATGCGACCACGGATTGTTCTCATGAAGGCATGTGGAGAGAGAGTTATGGACATGGTGTTTTGGATTCTCTCCAGTTAAAGTTTGTGAATGTTTTCACTAGAGAATTTTTAGCTCGTTAAAATTTATTGGGAAAGAGTCCTGTTTACCAGTCTGCCGCACATCCCTTGACATCAGTCACCATGAGAGTTAGACCTCTCCCCTTGACCGTGTTGGGTATTTAGATGGTTCTAGAGTAAGGTGACCAGATGTCCCGCTTTTGGCGGGACAGCCCCAATTTTTGGAAAGAATGCATGACAAGCTAGGGAATGGTCTATTTGGTCCATATACACCAAATTTTTAATCAAGAACACCCCCGCCCCCCCGGCTAATGGTGGTTCCGCTTTAAATCTGGTCACCTTATTCTTGAGTGACCCCCGGTTTTATGCACTTTGTTTTCCCCTGAAATGAATGCGTGCTCACAACATTGCAGTACTCAGGGATGTTGTGATTTCTTGCTGTCAGCCTGTAACAGCCGTGTTTCTAGGATGCTGGGAGGTTCGGTGGTTTATTAAACAAACTCTCTATTCTTTTTCAGTTGTCAGAAGTGAGACTTGCTGCCCGAGAAGCTCATAACCGCAGATGCCAGCCTCCTCTCAGTCGGATGCAGTGTGTGCACAGGTACTCATGCCGGGGCTGTGAGTTTTGTTTTCTTTCTGGTTTTTTAAAACTGACTCAACAGTGATGCTTCTTTCCTGAAGCGCTCACACTCCAACCAACCCTCCAACGCACCATGATCATCCAGGACAACGTAGCTCTGACCCAGAGTGTTTCCACCGAGATCCTTACAGAGGCTGACTGCACAGCATTCTCCGTGGAGCTGCGGGTAGCTTCGAACTGCTGACTTTTCCCAAGGCAACTTGAAATGCTGAAAGAATGAAACATTTTTAAAAAAAAAATCATTTTATTAGGGACTCCGACAGGTCTTAATCACAATACGTACATACATCCCTCATCCTCCCTGCACCCTCCTCACAGTTGTTCTTGTGTTTGTGCCCTTTGTTGCAGCCACTGTGTCATTCATGTGCTTGGGGCCCTTTCCTGCTTTCCCTGGTACATTTGGCTGGTTTCTCTAGAGACGTGTCACCAGGTGCGACACCAGAAAAAGACAGGTGTCTTGTCTCAGATCATGCAGTCTCTAATCCGGCCTCCCAGGCAACGCGGGTGGCATGCCTGCTTGATGCGCACTCTTTTCTTTTTTTTCTAATTTTATTGGGGGCTTGTACAGCTTTTATCACAATCCATCCATCCATCCATCCATTGTGTCAAGCACATTTATATATTTGTTGCCATCATCATTCTCAAAACATTTGCTTTCTACTTGAGCCCTTGGTATCAACGCCTCATTTTTCTCCCTCCTTCCCCGCTCCCACCTCCCTTGTGAACCCTTGATAATTTATTAATTATTATTATTTTGTCATATCTTGCAATGTTTGACGTCTCCCTTTACCCACTTTTCTGTTGTCCATCCCCCAGGGAGGAGATTATATGTAGATCCTTGTAATCAGTTTTTATCTATCTTAAAACCACTTTGATAGAGGAGGGCTCAGCTCATCCCGGGCAGGTTTCTCATGCTGTGGGGAGTGGGAGAAGACCAATCTGTTGCTGCCATATAACATGACTGTAGTCACATCAAATCAACACACTCCTATGGGGGTGCCTCGTAAACCCTAATGGAAGTGCAAGTCCAGAGGTTGGGAGGGGCAGGGGGTGGGTGAGGCATGTGTCTCGAAGGTGCTTTCATCTCTGTTGGTGGGTAAACCAGGAGAAGCAACCTGCCACTGGGAAACGCTAGCATTACTTCTATAGCCCCACCCCTCACCCCCCCAGGGGAGAATACATCCTCTATTACGTTCCTAAACGGCACTTTTGACCAAGTTTCTATCCAGCCCTTGGTGACCCAGGCTGTGTATTGGGACTTACAACATATTCATGGCTATAAGAATGAAGGAAACATCTAAAATGGATTGTGATGATGATTGTGCAACTTCTTTTTAATATATTCAAACCATTGAATTATATGATATGTGATTTATATAGCAATAAAACTGTTTTTTAAAAAATGTGGGTCAGCTTCTATGGGAAACAGAAGGATTTCTCCCAAGTTGTCTTTCCCCAAAATATGCCAGACTTTTCTACTTGAGAATGACTATACACTTGGAGGTCATCAGGAGTAGATTAGGGGTCATTCTCCCTAAGAGCTATCAGCCATCTAGACCAAGCAGACAGCACTGTTTATCCCACAAGTAGGGCCCACTCCCTTCTGATAAGGATAGTAGTTGTCTGTTTCCTTGTGGGAGATACCAGAGAGGTCAAACCCGCCCAAGGATGACCAAGGTTAGGCTGCCATGAATCTAGGGTCCGCCCATCTTGTCACATGTATACCCCTAGACCTTCCCATTCCTATGGGCACACCCCTAGCTCATCCCCTTCCTGTTACGCTTATGCCTATCATACATCCCCTTTCTACGATGTGTATGCCTATTGTACTGCGCCTTCCTGTGACGTGTGGTTACCTGTAATCATGCCCCCCTAAAGAGAGATAACCTTTGGTTAGCAATAAAGTGGAGGTTCTCCCCGGTCCTCGCTCCTGGGGGCTCTCCTGCTCTCACTCCTGAGGTTCTCTCCTCTTGTGGCTGGGCTCCTCCCACGAGGACCACCAAGCGGGGCTGAGGTGAGCATTCTACCATGAATTGTGTCTGACTCCATTAATTCAGTCTCTCCTCTATCTCTCATGCTCTCTATGTATGGTTGTGCCTACCGGACCTGTGATAATTTGTGGGGGACTCTCCTCTCCTCCCCACAAGCTTCCCCACAGTGTCACTCTATACTAAGAGTAGCCTCTACCCCCAAGTGAAACCTCCCTCAAGTGGATCAAGGCTGGGACCAGCTTAAGGGCGTGGTTCTCTCCCCTGCTTCACAGAAGATTCCCTCTGGAGATGGGAGAATCCTGGCCCGCCCCAGGTGGCATAACACCTAACACACCATGCCTGATGTCTTTTTCCAGGGTCTGGTCTCTGTAAATATGGCCAAAGTCCCTGAGATGCAAGTGTTGCTGTCCTGTAGTGGGCAGCATGTTGGCACCCTGGGCGTGACCTGCAGAGTTGAAGGGAAGTCTTATGTGAACGATCCGGTCAGCATTCATGGAGGTGTGTCCGGTCAGCTCTGCCTGGTGGCTGCTTCATTCTGTTTTCTCAGTGCTCATTGAAACCCAGATTTTTAAAGACTGACTATTAGGGAAATGCCGTAAACATATTTTGTCTGCTCCTGGAAAGGCAAATGGAACATCAAAAGGAGATCAATAAAAATGACATTTCAGAGTGCTAGCCTGCAGTTTGTGGATCGTGCTGAGCAGGCAGCAGAATGAAGTGCGTGTGTGTTTATGTGTTTGTGGGGGTTGTGTGTGTGTTTATGTGTTTGCTTTGTGTGTGTCTGTGTATAAGGAGTAGTGCTGAGGAGGCCATAGTTCCTTATATTCTCATGCTTGCCACCAAATACTAAAAACATTCTTGTCTGAACATTACCTATAAAGCAGTGTTGCTGAATGATTAAGGTGGTTATCAAGAGCAAGGAGTAATACACACGGCCTGGGTTTCTCTTGTGTTCAGAAATAATGAACTGGCCATAGAGCTTTCTGCAAGACTGGAAATACTGCCAGTATGAAGGTATTGGACGGGCAGAGCGCTTTATCGTCCAAGTGGATGTCCACATAGCAGGCTCCCCCCTCCCAAGTCGCCGTCATGCGCTGAGAGAGGCCGTCACACTAGCCTCTCTTTGCTTTGGGGTTTCATCTCTTGCTCGAGTTCTGGTGCCCCCTTATCCCCTTGGTTTGTGTTGGCTGGTGTCTGAGCAACAGGCTTTCGTCCATATGGGAGTAACAGCTGGGGTCTGCTTTCTGTAGGTACTGTCAGTCCTGGATCATTGTTCTCCTTAGCGTTCCCCCCACTCCAGCCCCGGTGGCGTTGTGGGTTCGATGTTGGCCTGCTAACTGCGAGGTGGGCGTTTCAGACCCACAATGTGGGAGAAAGATAAGGTTGCCTGCTCTGAAGGTTTGCAGTGTCACAAACCTTGTATCTGGTGGCTTTGAGGCAGTGACCATTGCATTGGGTAACTGTGCTGCACAGGGCCTCTTTGAAGTGTTAAAAGCAAGGATGCAATTTTGAGGACTATGGACGCCTGACCCAATCCATGGTATGCATGTGAAAGTTGCATATGATATGAAAGTTCATATGTGTGTGAAAGTTGGGCTTTGAATAAGAAGACTAAATAAAAACAGATGCATTTGAATGATGGTGTCAGCGAAGCTTACTGTAAGTACCGTGGCCTGCTAAAAGAACAACTTCTGTCTTGGAAGAAGTACGGCCAGTGTGCTCCTTAGAGGCAAGGGTGGCAAGTCTCCGTCATGTCCTTTGGACATGTTATCGGGGTCTAGGGACTCTCAAAGAGTTTTCCATATCAACTTATGGCAACTGCTTTCTGCCATTTTTGTTTATGGGTGCTTCGAAATGCTCTATTTTAGGATAGGGGACACACCTGGCCTAGAAATCTATGAAGATTTCTCTCAGAGAGATGCATGATGGATGGGCCTATTTTCTGGATCTTCACTTGGTTGCGTTGACTGTCACACAATAACACGCAGTGCTGACTTCTGGGAAGCTGTGATGCCTCAAGTCAAGCAGTGTGAGTCTTCTAACTGTTCGTTTTTCTGTATCGCGATAAATTTGTAGGTGATAAGACATGAAATATGTCCATCATGTCATTCAGATGTCACCACACTGAAAGGTTCTTTTTCAAATTTGTTTTCCATGTACTAGTCCCTTTTTGTTTCCATGTGAATTTTAGAATCCATTTCCCCCCCCAATTTCTACACTAAAGCCTGCTGGGATTTTTATTGGGATCATGTTTATAAGTAAATTCTAGAAGTGACATTTTAAGAATACTGAGTTTTCCCAGGCATGGCCCTACAGCTTTTTCGTTTTTAGCTCATTTTAGTTTTCCTATGTGGTTCCCCCACCCCACCCCCCGTGTAATAGCATTGGAAATTTTTTTGGTCAGATTTATCCTGTGATAGTTCACATATTAAATGCTGTTTTATGTAGTGTTATTTTCTAATTGTCAGTTTCTAAATGCCTGTTGCTAGCCTATAAGCAACATAATTTTGTATATGATCTTTTATCCTGCAGCTTTTCTAAACTTATTAATTCTCTCAAAGTCTTTAGGACTTTCTCTATAAACATCACATTGTAAATTAAGACAGTTTAATGTTTCCTTTGCAAGGTATGCCTTTTATTTTGTTTTCCTGCCCTATTAAGACAAGAAAGAAAGAAAAGATCAAAGTAAATGTTAAAGAAAGATACTCAGAAACCTGCCCTTGATCGTAGAGTAGCTAAAGCAAATGTTAGAAATGATGAAGTAAAAGAGTTGAACATCTCAAAGATCAATTTGAGAAGACAAAGTTAAGTATTATAATGAACTGTGCAAAGACCTAGAGTTGAAAACCAGAAAGGAAGAACATGCTCAGCATATTTCAAGCTGAAAGAATTGAAGAAAAAAAATTAAGGCCTTGGACTACAATATTGAAAGAATCTGTGGGCAAAATATTGCATGATGCAGTATGAATC